AAGCTACTTGCCAAATTCGGCGAGCTCCAAACGTCGAAATCACTGCCACATTATTCGCTGAGAGTGAGACAGCTGCTCGGCCGAGTTTCTCAGGCGGCACGCGACTGATGACACCCTGCATGTGTGAACCCCAAGGGGGGGGGGGGGGGGAGGGATCTGGAGCAGGACCCCGATTTCGGGAATGCGGAATACACACCGCCACCGAGGCAGGAAGGTCAATGATGGATGGTTCAAGGTCGTGGGGATTGGGGTAAAGTAAATTTATTGAAGCTCTGTAGCTCCGCTGCTGCTCATCGTGAACTTGCCTCGCATACTCCTCTTTGATGACAGGATTCTTCTGTAGCTATTTGATACCACTACACACTTGACTTCGCAAATTTCTTCATCTCTGTACATTTCATCGATCACACGACCTCATACCAAGATGGCGAACCGCGGCGCAACATGGGATCCCAAGGTCCATACCATCCGCGATCTGATGGAGTTGGGAAGCAAGAAGCTGCCTAAGATGTACAGGGACTACTACAACGAAGGCGCCATGGATCTTGTCACGTAAGTTGGAGAATGAGATGTTTTTGAGCGAAGTAGACATTGATTCGTATGCAATAGCCTGAAGGACAACGAAGAGGCATACAACCGTTACAAGATCCTTCCTCGGATCCTCGTCAACGTCGACAACATCGACCTTTCCACAACGATTTTCGGTACCAAGGTATTACTTTGTCGCCTCCACCCAGAACTCTGCAAGAAGCTCTGCTAATCGTCCTTCGAAAGGTTTTATTTCCCCTCGGTTTCAGCCCGGCAGCGATGCACAAGCTGGCGCACCCAGACGGCGAGGTCGCGACATCACGGGCCGCGGCGAAGATGAACATCTGCATGGCCCTTTCCTCATATGCGACGGAGTCCATGGAAAATGTGGCCGCGCAAGGGCTGGGAAATCCCTATGTCATGCAGCTGTGTGTGCTTAGAGACCGCGAGACGACAATCCAAATACTGAAGAGAGCAGAGGGTATGTTGACATCCTCTCACATTCATGAGTGGGAAGCGAGGCGGTGACATGCTGACATCTTGTGAAAGCTTCCGGATACAAGGCCATCTTCCTTTCTGTCGATACACCACTCCTTGGCCGCCGCTTGAACGAGTACCGCAACAACTTTACCCTGCCAGATGGCGTTGAATGGCCTAATCTCCTATCTGACGGAAAGAGCGAATTGAGCGGCGCGATCAAGGATGAGCAGGCTGTTTCCAAGCATGACTTCGGTAGGGATGAGTGCTAAAAGAAATCATGGCCGGCATTGCTAACTGTTTCAGATCCCTCTCTTGACTGGGATAGCGCGATCCCGTGGTTGAAGCAGCACACAAACCTCCAGATTTGGTTGAAGGGTGGTGAGTACTCGGCAATGCGATGGCAGCCGATACCACAAGCTAATCACAACGTTCACCAGTGTACAACCCCGACGACGTAGCGATGGCCATCCGATACGGCATTGATGGCATTGTCATCTCGAACCACGGCGGCCGACAACTTGACGGCGTTCCAGCCACCCTCGATGCGTTGAGAATTTGCGCACCTGTGGCCGCGGGCAAGATTCCCATCGCGGTCGACGGCGGTATCCGACGCGGAACCGATATCTTCAAGGCGCTCGCGCTTGGCGCGTCTCACTGCTTCGTGGGAAGAATCCCCATTTGGGGTCTGGCTTACAACGGCCAGGAGGGTTGCGAGCTTGCGCTGAAGATTCTTCAGTACGAGCTCAAGATTGCGATGGCCCTTGCAGGGTAAGTACACTCCTCCTTTCCAATATGCAGCCATGCTAATTATCGTGTCGCACAGAACGCGGACCATTGAGGAGATTTCGAGGGGTCATGTGGCGTACTTGAACGGCAGTGGAGTTCTGGCAAAGCTTTAGGCGCGATGGTCACATTGGGTGTAGCGAGTTCAGCATAGATACTACTTCATAATTCAACCTTGATTGTACTTTTACCGGAAACAGTTCTTGATCTGGTCACATAATATTTGAACGACCAGTAGCAGTGTTGATTGCAGACCGGCTCAATCGTGAACATCATTCAGGACAAGATGCCAATTCAATCGTACATGACCATTCCCGATCACAGGAAAGAACGCATGGATAGACTTAGGCAAGGAAATGAAGCCAATGATGAAAGTCAGATGATTTAGTTACATAGCTTGATCTCTATCCGTATGGAAAGGGTGCACATGCGGAAGAATCTTGCCTGATGGTTCTTACATGCAACGCGCCAGACCTTAGACAGTGGGGACAATAAGCTGGGATTGCTCCCGAGATGGCACTGTAGGTCACGGGCCACTACAAAGCGATTTTGACTTTCAGATTCAAATCCCTGTACCATCAAGGTGCACCATTGTTGCTCTCACTGTTTCGTGCCATATGAAGGCAAGGTTCGCGACTTTGGGGTGGCCAGTTTCTGGAGGAAGGTCTCCGCGACGGGGACCCACATCGCCGCCGGGCTTACCCCGCGCTATCATCGAAGATCATCATCGCGGAGGCGCCTCCGATCCCGGGACCCACTTGCCCCGCGTCGCCGTCTCGTGTGCCTCCAGCTACCCCTCCTCTATCGTCATTCGGACCCCAATTTCTTAGTTTGATCGAGCAGGAATTGCGGTAGGAAAGGCAGGTCTGCTCGAGTTCAAACGCATTGCGATGCCGGCCAGCTGCTTTGAGGAGGGGCTCGTTGGCTAGTGCAGCTGACTCTTGCAAAGAGCAAGACATCCCGAAGGCTTTTGTCAACCATCCAATGTCAGTCAAAGGTTCGTATTAGATAACCCACTTCGTCAGCTCAATATATGACATTGGCATCTGCGCAGTGCTACACTCCAACCTGGAACACTTCTACATCCTTCTCCTTACGACCAACCCAGTCCAAAGCTGAACCGCTACTCTGTCATCTGAAACCACATTTTCGTCTTGTGCTATCATTTTCACAACTTAGGACCAAAGCTTGAACCAGTCCAATATGGCGTCTCAAGAGCTGAAGGGCGTCCTCGTGGCCCTCGCCACCCCTTTCGCCCCCGACCAGAAGTCTATCGACACCAAGCTGCTCGACGAACATATCCAGCGCCTCATCGCCAAGGGTGTCCACGGTCTTGTTCCCGGAGGCAGCACCGGCGAGTTCACCGCACTAGACGCCGACGAGCGCAAGATCCTGATCGAACAGACCGTTAAGTCCGCTGCCGGCCGCGTGCCCGTCGTCGCCGGCATTGGCGACCTCTCCACCGTCCGCGCCGTCGACCACGCCGTCCACGCCGCCTCCGTCGGTGCTACTGCCCTTATGGTCGTTCCCCCCTTCTACGACGCCCCCAACCTGGCTCAGCTCCGCGAGCTTCTCAGCGAGATCCACCAAGCTTCAAAGCTTCCCATCGTCTACTACAACATCCCCTCCGCCAGCGGCGTCACACTATCTCCTTCCGAAATCGCGTCCCTGTCCGAGGTTGGCGTCACTCACTTGAAGGATACCTCTGGAAACGGCCCCGCTCTCACGGAGCTGATCTTCAGCACTGCCACCAACTCCCGCATCACCGCCTTCAACGGCTGGGATACTCTTACCTTCTACGGCCTCGCTGCCGGCGCCAAAGGGTCGGTGTGGGGCGCGACCAACATCATTCCTGAGTTGTCTAGCCAGCTGTGGCAGGCTGTCGCCGAGGATGCGGACCTGAGGAAGGGCAGGGAGCTGTGGACGAAGATCTTCCCCATCTGCAAGTTCTTGGAATCGCACAACTATGCTTCGGCAGTGAAGACGGGTATGGAGCTCCGTGGGTGGAAGACTGGTGGCCTGCGCAAGCCGTTTGCGCTCCTCGAGGGCGAGCCACGGAAGGAGTTGGCTGATTTGTTGAAGAACGCCAGCGTTGATGTTGTGGCATAAGCGGCAATATATTTCACAATATAATGAAAGTTGATTTAATTCCTTTTGGTGCAACTTGACCTGACTTGAGTGATGGGTGAATGATCAAGCTTCATCTTCCTTCTTCCAATGTCAACTGAGTCAGGGTTGGGCGCCGGATGAAACTCTGTTGGAATGTCGGCAGGCTATTGGATTAAAGCAATCGTCTTCACCCTCAACCTGGACACGTGGCGATTTGTATGCAGATAAAACACTGGTCGCTGCAATTGAGGTAATAGGTTTGTTGATTCCTTCATGATTGTATAAGCATGAGAAATTTTGGATGACCAAATAGAATACCAGTCACCAGCAAGGCGATAAAGACCAATGGATACCATCTTGAGCCACGATCTGTCTCCTCCACCATCTCACGAAATTTACGAACCTTGCAGCCTTGCAGACGGGGAAGTCGTGCCGACCCCTGTTGACGTCGGACTTTTGCGTGGGTGCTCACATATGATTTGTCTGGAGACCGGCGAGCGGCACACTCGCTTTCCAATAGCCAACCAACGTGCTTGTCTAGTCACTTCAATGTGGACCTGCAACGTACGTTGCCATCTCGTCTATGCGGAAAGCCCCCGCAAATTCTCGTCTGTCGTATGATCAGTCACACGCTGACAGCACACTGCGACCAAGGCCGCTTTTACGGGCCATCGCTGAAGATGTTTCTGACTCTCGCTTCCAGTCAATCAGATGACGCCTGGATATTGGTATGGAGATTCCCTGAAACAATCATCTGGGGTCAAAATGATGCCCAATAAGTATATACGGGCGAACAGAAAGCCAGGACAAGGCTACACTTTCCGTGACAAGATCTCTGCGGGGTTCGCTCTGCATCCTTGATGCATGAGCGGGCTTGGATTGCTTTGTTGGTCCTAGAATGTACCAGGCCTGCTGTTGCTATCGTTCCACGTGCCTGTATCCGACCCGGCATTCTTTCGCGCTTGGCCTGATGTTTTCTTTTCTGGTTGCCCCCCCTCTTGTGTTCCTTCGTTTTTCCCCTTCCCCCTTTCTCACTCGAAACATTTTCCCAGCTGCCTGCCCAGATTCGAACCTCACCAAGGGCGGATCTTATAACTACAATGGCTGACGAACCGGCTCAGATTGTAAGCACCACTCGTCATCCACACCCCAAAGAATTCATTTCGGTGTTGCTTTCGTCGGCTGATATCACTCAAGGAACCAGCGCTCCAAGTCCAGGAACCTGTTGAGACTCCAGACGATGGATATTCAGATGCAGGGAGGTACGAGTTCTTGCCCACTCGGAGGTCGTAGCCAGACCCAGAGGCTGACATCCGTGGTACTTCCATTTTTAGTTTGCATCAATCAACATCGTCTCTAAGTTCTAGCATTCGGGAGTACCGCACTATTCGCGGAAGAACATTCCAGACTTCCAACACCATTGATTATTGGTGAGTGCAAGCCAACGGCCTTCGCTCGGTTCCATTATACTGTCGGCTCTCTAATCGACCCAGGGCGCCAAATGACGAGCAGCAAATCGAGGGCTTTGACATTACGTGAGTGATCACAGAGATATCATGCGAGCTTCGTCGATACGCTATTTGGCTGGAACTGACATAGCAAAAAGACATCATTTCATGATGTTGCTTATGGACAATCATCTATTTGGCGCTCCTATCCAAGGCAGAAGCCTGGTGAGTTACTCTTATTTCCTCCATCGTGTAGCTAGAACTCATCGTAGCTAGTGACTGATGTTCGTTGAGGTTGTACTGCGTTCCTTTACTAATGGCCTACAGAAAGTTCTAGACGTTGGGACTGGAACAGGAATCTGGGCTATGTATGTTCTTCACCTTGTACCAACTCGCTTATTTTGTGGATTTGATGCTGATGACCATCGTGGCTAGTGACGTTGCAGAGGAGAATGAGGACTTTGACGTCATCGGAATCGATATATCGCCAATCCAACCAGGCTGGGTTCCGCCAAACTGTCAATTCTTCATTGATGATGCTCAGCTTGATTGGACCTTTAGGCCTGATGAGTTCGACTTCGTTCATGCCCGAGGTCTCTTTGGTGGCATCGATAACTGGCAAAAGCTCTACGACCAGGCTTTCCGGCATCTGAAGCCTGGCGGTTGGTTTGAGAGCGTCGAGGCGGACAGCCAAGTCCGCTCGCAGAACGAAGAGATCGAAAAAGATCCCAAGCACGTCTTCAAACAATGGGCCCCGCTATTCTGGCAAGCTGGTGATATTATTGGTAAGACTTTTCGTGTCGCCCAAGATGATGGTCAGAACCCGATCATCATGGAAACTTGTATGAGAAGAGCAGGCTTTGTCGATATCGTGCACAAGAAGTGGAGGGTTCCTGTCGGACCATGGGCCAGCGATCCCTACTGGAAGGAGGTCGGAGAATATGCAGGTCTGTATGTCGACCAGGGACTCGAAGGATGGGCCCTCAGGCCGCTCAGTGAGATTCTGGGATGGACTTACGAGGAGCTCCTTGTCTTCATTGCTGGAATGCGCAAAGAATTGCGAAACAAAAGTGCAATGCCGTACTTCAACTAGTAAGTTAATCTCTTTAACCCCATGGCAAGCCCTGTCGCATTGGCGTTGGTCACGGAAACATGTAGACTAACCAACGCCTAGTCACATGGTTTACGGCCGAAAGCCAGAGGCTTGAGGCAAGCGATTTCGGAACAGTTGTGACCCAAGTGTTGTTGTTGTTGACCATAGCCCTTGCAGCCCATTCCTGCGTATCAAAATTGATGCCAGCCTCGTCTATCTTGGCAAATTCGAGCGCCGTCTTGTCAACATTGCTGCAGTCATCAGATGGACACCTAGCAACATAGGTCATCATAGGCCCAAAGTGAGCCCATCGTGTCCAGTGAAACTCGACGGTTCCGCCAGCAGACACTTTGACAGTGGAGTTGGCGGGCGCACCATTCTTCTGGCAAACAATGTCGGGAGACGTGTAGTTCTCGGGCGCAACAAAGCCACTATCAAGATTCTCAGCGGACCAGGCAGCTAGCTCGGGAAGCTCCTTGCCATTCTTCTTGTCATAGTAGTAGATGAGCTGATAGCCGGGGTGCTCCACACCGTCAGTTTTGAAGCTGTCAACGACACCGTGGCCCGCCACAACGCTAGCGAACAGGCCGAGAAAGGAAAGAGATTTCAGCATGGCGCAGAAAAGACAAGTGACATACGGAGACGAAAAGAGCGGATGGGCACAAGACCCAAATAGTAAAGGCTGTGATGAAGCGAACGTAAAGAGCGAAGTGGTGTACATGTACTCTCACTTTACGAAGAAAATCAAGCAGCTTTATATCTTGACTGACGTTAAACTATGCGGCTTCGCATCTTACACAAAGAATCTCGCTTGTGAGTGGGTTGCATAAAGCAGCAGCACTGTGGCAGGACGTGGAAAATTCAGGTCTACTCAAGCGAGCGAGGATGAAACAGCAGAGCGAATATCATGAGGCACTATCTGTGCGTCTATCTAACGATAAAATCTTCGATAAATCAATTTGTGACATTCTCCTAGGCCTCTGGAGTTGCGCGACGAAACTACGTCGTTTAAAGACCCCATGTTCTCCAGATGAGCAGCTAGCACTGGCGCATATATTGTCCCGATGTGGTCGAAAAGCCGGATCTAATGGTCTTGCCTATTCACAAGCTCACAGCTGTCCAAGTGCGATACTGGCGGGTAAGCCATCCTGAAATTCAATGCCAGGCTTCAACCAGATGACACACTCGCAAAGAGCCACACCGCAGGATAGATTTACTATAGAAGGTATATCGCCCGGAATAACGGTCTTTGATGGGGGCGGCGCTCCGACATTTTCTAGCTTCGCAATCCTGCCTGACCAATGTCGGCCTAGCTTGGTGGGTATTTGGCCTGTAACCCATCCGAGGTGGTCGTATATCTCGGGTTTTACTTGCGTGTGCCGCAGTAGGGGCCACTCATCCCTAGTAATGAACGCATGCGATGGCCCTTAATTTTAAAGTCTTTTACACACGCAGTGACATTTGATAGCTAGCGCCAAGCTGCTGGGTTTGATAAGATTGACTATGTATGGCCGAGGACTTTCAAGACAGTCCGTCACACAGCCGAGGCTGGGATAGGCCGTTGTCTATGCTCTCAAGTGACCCACGATTCGTTCTATTTCCTCCCGAGAAAATCCAAGTGTGACCATGGCGTACTTCTCAAAGCCTCCGTACTTGGCTTCTACCTGCGTCATGAACAACTGCCAGGTAGATAATCGGAGGCTGCAAAGGTTGTGGAAAACAGGAACATCGAAGTCGCAGTTGTTGTCTTCTACCGCTCGCTGAAGCAATAGCTCACGGACGGGCTCTGAACCAATCCGGGATAGCATGTAGTCCAGGGCGATTGTCTCTGCGTTGGCGCCAGCCAGGGACAATAGGAAGCCTGCGAGAATGCCAGTCCTATCCCGGCCAACTTTGGAGTAGTTATGGGTCAGTGATGATTGAAGGATGACGGAGACACGAGGGGCAGCAACTCACGCGCGCAGTGGAAAAGAAATGGTTCCTGTGGACGATCTCTGACGTGTTCGAGAACGATCTTTAAAGTTGGCGCGTAGATTTCCATGATGTCCATGTACATCTTGCAGTAGCCTTCTTCGCCGCCCCCACTAACAAAGTCGTTGATATCGATGGTGTTGCTGAATGAATTTGGGATCCACATTATGTCACAACCAGGGACATCTGGTTCGGGATACTTTTCCCGCTCATGTCTCGTTCTCAAATCGAATATTCTCTTGATGCCGACTTGACCTGCGATTTGCTGTTTGCCGACATCATCAAGATTCTCGAGAGCCCCAGAGCGAAACACATAGCCTTTCCGAATAGGACTACCAGGAACCAATCCAACGTCCCGGGTGTTGAATGTACCAGTGACGTTTATGAAAGGGGGGCTAGAGAGAACAGCCGAAAGGAACGGCTCTGCTACGGGGAGTCGTACATCAGTACGGGCATGCTCAAGTAGCTGCGCCGGCGAATAATCGGAGTCGGATGCCATTCCGGATATGACGATGAGATGATGAAGAATGCCAAGCAAGTGCAGCTGTTCACGGAGCTAGTTCCCGACGAGATAGACGAACAGCCTTTGATATTTAAGGAGAGCCGGAGACGGACAGGCCAAGGATCAGAAACCGGAGCTTCGGCGAGTGCATCAATCCGCCCGTTCCGGTCCGGTCCTCCGCGGAAGCCGAAATATGACCGGCTCCATTCAATAATATCAGCGCGATGCCGCGGAGACAATGGAAATGATGCAAAGGTTCACTGCAATTGCACAGTTTGTTGCAGTAAATTTCTTCACCGGTGCGAGTGCAGTTATTTCATGGGGTGATGGTCATCCATTCTCCATCAGCACTCTGACCTACTGCTGGACCCACCAAATATGGAGGGTGGCATGAAGCCTTCAGTCGAGGGAAAGCTTTTCTGTAAGCAGATTTTGCACCATCAAACCCACGCTGTATCATCTAGTCATGCTGCTTTGCATCAAATCTGGCCAACTCAAAGTCCAATCCCCTGTCTCTTTCCTTTTATCCCATACGCTTTGAGCCAACACGCTCGGCTTGTCCGCCCCAAAAATGACGCCTTGGGCATCAATAGACTCCAAAATCAGCTTTCCTCGCTCCTGAAGATCAGGCGTCGTAGCTTCGCAGGCCGCAATGAACCCAGCCCATCCGATGCTGGTAGCGAAGTCATGGTCGTCAGCCGTCTCCTCTAGACAGGGCTGTATGTAATCCAGAGTCTTGCGCACGGCGTCTTGGATGACCATGGCGCTCATGTTGTACACCCTGCGGTAGAAGTAGATTATCAACGCCTGATGCATCGCTAGCGTCAGGGACTTGATGATGGGATGATCAACGAGCCTGGCGTCCCTGTTCATGAGCTCCCGAGGTCTGCTGGGACCGCTTTGATTATCGGAAGAATCAAGAGACCACGACCAGATGTGTTGCTCCAGCATCTTGACATGCCTCGACAAGCCTGCCGAGACACGAGGGTCGTATAGTGCGATGGCCTCCAATTTGGCCTTCTCATTGGCGAAGCTGATGGTCTGAGACAGTAGCGTCATCAGGGACTCGGGTACGCCATAGATATCAGGATACATCGTGACAGGCCAATGGCCCGAAATGTCGAGGTGAATGTCTGCGTACCCGACTTCTGCAGGCTTCTCGCGAGAGATGTCCAGGTCGGCACCGAGAGAGTCTTCTGCAATACGGAACTTGCGGAGCGAGACGGCCATCTCGGTTGCTGCTTGCGCCTGAGCCTGGGCTGATAGGGCTTGGCCTGTCTTCGGAGCGTTGTCGCTAGATATATCCGTACTTTCTGCGATTACACGCAGGTGTGTGTAGACGTGGTGTAGGACACGAATGTTAAAGGACCTGGGCATCGAAAGGCCCCGGAGACGGATGAGTCGTTCGGCGTCGAGGAGGAAGATTTTGACCGCGCGAGAGCCATTATAGAGTACCTATGCAATTGTTAGAACAAGAAGCCAACCACGGCGGGAGCGGATGCTATACTGACCGAAACCATGGCCGTGGCAAGGATAGCCATAAGAATCTCATTGTACTTGGCTTGACTGGTCTCGTCCGACTCGCTTTGTAGTGCCATCTTCAGATGCGATTGTGCGCTCTTCTGGTAGTCCAGACCGACCTCCAGCCATTGTGATGCTGCTTTCTCATCCGTCTTGAGCGACCTGTGCAAGTGAAAAGCGCTCCTAGCCAGTAATGTACAGAGAATGCTATGCCTGGTATGGGTGGTAGTGTTCCAAAGAGAAAGCTCAGCAAAGGTTTCTAATGCGCAAGGCAGAAGCCAAAGTTGCCACGGTGATATTCTCATGCCCTTGACAGATGATAATGAGTCGATGGACTTGTAGTACCGTAAGAGGGAGGCGGCATGTGTTGGTAGGCATGGCGTAACGCCGGGCAGGTTGTTAGTGAACGGCGTGGAAACCTTGCGCGGTATTGGTAGGTTCATGTCCGATGGTGGGCTGGTAGGGTTGTTGCTATCCTCTTGCACGTGGTCAGTGTCTTGCTGCTGTTGATCTGGCAGTTGAAGTTGGTTCGGTTCTTGTTGATGGTGTGTGTGATGACTATGGGGTTGGTCTATATGGGCCATAGCAGGAGTCCGCGGTGAAGTGGGAGAGAAAAGCAAGTCCAGTGCCGAAAAAGAACCGTCCATCGACATCACATGACTGAGGCTTCCTGTGCCTTCACCATGCATCCATGGTTGGCCGAGGTTCATCATGGCGTCTGTACCGAAAGCGTCGAAATGTCCAGGCAGAAACGACGGTTCTATCGCGATATGGTCGTCGTGAACGGACCATGGCTCAATCACCACTTCTTCAACGTCATCGTCCAGCAGTTCGCCGCTAACGAGATTGGGCAAGGCTTCTGCTAGTGATGAAGTCGGAGAGCTCTCCGACTGTTGCTGGAGAGGGGAAGCGGACGTGTCCGAATTCGTGATGGAATCGCCTTCGAATGCTCTGAAAACACCAAAGGGACCGTCTAAGCACACCTCGTCCACGCCGTGAACGCTCTTCTCGTCGAGGTCGAGAACAATATCACCAGCCGAGCGATCACCCATGCTCTCGACAATCTCGACGGCCATGGAGTTGCGTTCATCCTCGGTGAAGAGCGGGTATCGGTACGACGTGCCACGGTGCGAGGAGGAGGCATGCTTCTGGTCGCCCGAGGCCGAGCACAGCGGATCCGGAACCCACAAGAGCTGGCCGTCGTAGCCTTCGCAAACGAGATTCAGACGGCGGCAGGAGGAACATATCGGGCGGGCCTCGTCGCACTTGAGGTGTCGGCTTCTGCAGGTACGGCAACCAGTAAACGTCCTCGAGCGCGGGACCCTCTTTGCGTTATTGCTTGCGGCTGTTGACTGTGGTTTTCCCCTAGATGGCTTCTGGCTCTGCTGGTTCTTCCGGGTGGCCGCCCTGGAATTACTGGGCCCTCTGCTTCTGGTCGTAGCAGGCATTGTCGATGAGCTAAGGCAGGGCAAAGCGAGAGACAGAAACGGTAGATAGTCGCATTGCGTGCTGGCTGTTCTCGGGAGGCAGAGGCAAGGAGCATTTCAGGCTTGTATTCCCGACTGGCCTGATTCCAAGGCTTCCTGTCGTCACTTGAAGGAAAGTCAGCAGGGAAAATGGCGGAGTCAAGATGTCGTCGTATCGCGGGGTTTCGATATTGGCGGAGTCGCTTTCTGGAGACAAGCCAAGAGCGTGTTGCAGCGATCACGGGGCAGTTGTGTGAAGTGAGAAGAGTCAAGATACCAGATTTGGCTCCTTTTCCCTTGCTTTTGAAAACGAGGAAGGTTTCCGCGACGTACTTATCGGCGCTAGCGGATGTGGGGAAGCCACTTCATGGGGCCGGACCGGACTTTCTCGGTCTAGGATGATGCCGGAACAGCGACCCGAACATCGATTTCCCCAGGACTTTAGTCATGGGAATGCTTCGTGACTGATCGGGAATGCCGTTGAAGTTATGGCCCTTCTTTCACAGCCCAGAATGAGAAGAAGAAAGTGCCGAGAAGACCCACCATTTGATGGGCATGCTTGCGCGACGAGCTGAGTTCCGGAACAGCTCGTGTAAGTCCACAGGTGGCTCAAAAGCTTTCTTGAACCCAGAGATCAGATCCGGAGGAGCTCCTGATTTGCTGAGTTGTTTCTAATATTCGAATACCAGCATATGAACGGCATAGTCATGATGGCCAGTCTCCGACATTCCCGCCCGCTTACCCTAGCAGCTGCCACTCGGCGTTGCCCTCAGCAGAAAAGCAGTGTTCGCAGGTTTTCTGCCGCGGCATGCAACCAAGCTCCTGCTGCCTTCCAAGGCGAGCCCTCTGAGCCTAGAGTTGTCACTTCCTCGGTGCCTGGGCCTAAGGTGAAGGAAGGACTTGCGAAGCTGGAGCAAGTCTTTGACACTCGCAGCGCAAATACACTTGTCGACTATGAGAAGTCCATTGGAAACTAGTGAGCCAACCCCATGTATGCTGTGGATGACATCTTGCTAAGTCGAACCAACTGAAGCCTGGTGGATGCCGATGGCAACCGATTTTTGGACGTGTAAGTCTGCCTACTTTGCCTACCGGCGGCCTTGCTCTGACCAGAATCGGTTTGCAGTTTCGCACAGATCGCTTCAATCCCTCTCGGCTACAACAACCCAGAACTCAACAAGGCGTCGACGAGCCCCGCGATGATCCGAGCAATCGCCAGCAGACCGGCACTTGGAAGCTTTCCTTCAACAGACTATGCGGAGTTATTGGAGACCAGCATCCTGAAAGCCGCCCCCAAAGGCCTCAACCAGGTCTTTACTGCCACAACCGGCTCCGATGCGAACGAGACAGCGTGCAAGGCGGCCTGCATCTGGAAAGGAACACAAGAGCGTGGTGGGGCCGACTTCAGTGCTGCTGAGCTGGAGTCCGTCATGGTGAACCAAGCACCTGGCGCCAAGAAGTACTCCATTATGTCGTTCCAGAAGGGCTTTCATGGTCGCCTGTTTGGTAGCTTGTCGACGACGCGAAGCAAGCCTATCCACAAGCTCGACGTACCAGCATTCGATTGGCCCGTTGCACCTTTTCCTCAGTTAAAGTATCCTTTGGATCAGTTCGCTGCAGAGAACGCAGCTGAAGAGAAGAGATGCCTCGAAGAGACAGAGCATTTGTTGGAGGAGGCCAAGCAGACAGTTGCGGCAGTCGTCGTCGAGCCTGTTCAATCAGAGGGCGGCGACAACCATGCCTCGCCAGCTTTCTTCCAGGGTCTCAGAGAGCTTACGAAGCGCAAGGGCGTCTTGCTGATTGTTGATGAGGTGCAGACTGGTGTCGGAGCGACTGGAAAATTCTGGGCTCATGAGCACTGGAACTTGTCTTCGCCGCCGGATATGGTGACCTTTTCCAAGAAGGCCCAGGCTGCAGGTTTCTACTTTGGTGATGCTGGTTTGAGGCCGGATAAGCCTTACCGTCAATTCAACACTTGGATGGGCGACCCTGTCCGAGCGCTGCTGTTCA